GTGCTCAAGCAGAGGTCAGAACAGCAATAATAAGCACTACTTTATGCAAGCGAGTGTTAAAGTGGATCGAAGACAGCCAGTAATAGTTTTCAGTTCAGATCAGACCTCTGTGGATCAGGGGTACCGACATTTACCGTGCAGATTTTGGATCATTTTATCTGCGCGTGCATGACTCTTGTTATAAAAAACTGTGTATTGCAGATGACATCGAATCAATAATAATGATAATGACGCTGCCGAATGTCTCCCCCCCCCCCTCACCTGTCTGTCCCCGCTACGAAGTCTGCTCCAGCGTCTCAGAATTTTCCAGAATTTATTCACGGATCATAGTAGCCGCTGACGCAGGAGAGCCCATGGATCATTTCGAAAGCCATATTGGCGCGTTGTACTGTTGTTTTGGCGCGTTTCGGAACATGGGAGCTGTCACTGTGAGCACTATCCCAGTGAGGTGTTGGAAAGCTTCACCCTGATGCTGACTACTTGGTCCGCTCTCCCTCAACGCCCTCATGTCCAGCAATCTACACCAGTGGTCTCTGGCGAAATGGGATGCGGGGCGTTGCCACGCAAGCGACGAGCAGCCGCGGCTCTCCGCAGAGACTCTCGAGAGCAACTGTGTTACGGCTCCCGCAGGGACGCATGACTCTCCAGAGTAACTGTATCACGCGATCACGCGCGGATGCGGACCAATACCATTGGCTGGTGCGAATGGGACGTGTGTTTGTGCGGCTGTCGCTGCACGTGGGACTGCGCATTAGTCGCATAAGTACAGTCGTGTTAAGCGTAAGTGATGATGACATGGTGACACGTTTTCCAATCGTGCACAAAAGACGCATATTGAGCTGATAAACATCATTGGCATATCTAACGTTTCGTCGTGGTTCTAGGCACGCCAGTTGGGAACGGATCCACCGGCTTATCCAAGGGCATTTAAGCAAGGCGGTTTACATTCCTTAGATAATGTCCAAGATGTGTGGACTTTCTGCCGGAATCTGGTCACAACGTTTTTTTATTACTTAAAAGCAGAGCTTACATATCCGTTGCCACTTCAGGTACCAAGATAGTGCTAATGAGAGATGGTTGGTAATCTGGGGACGTAGGGCTAGCCACTATTTTGCACAGACTAAGGATGCGACATCTTGTGTGCTACCGATGATGGGGCTGTAAATTAGCGTTGTTTGTTTGAACCAAAATGTATGCGTGGTAAGGCTTCATGAATCATCAAATAGAAAAATGTGTTGCACCATAATGCTCGTAGCCACTTTTAGCACCGGGAGGGGGAGGGGTGCGCAGCATCATTCGTCCGGATCGTAGACTCAGTTTTGTTTCAAAGTGCAATGAAATGATAAGTAAAACGAACATTTGGCTGATTTATTTTAATTAGGATTCTTTCCCAAGCGCCGTCTGTTGTTACCGCTGTGGACCCACTATCTCAGTACTGCACGCTAGCTCAGCGGACGGTTTCGCTTCAGACTCATATCAATATTGTACCAAATTACCCCGCCACATGGCCGTCCTGTAACCAGCCTCTCACTATCAAGCCAATGACCAAATTGCCCTCTGTAACCAGCCAGATGCAAACACTAATTCTGGGAGGTGAACAAACAACCGCGCGTTTCGCCCCATCACGCGTCCGTTCGGCATGACTGCGGTGCTCTCTGCCTAAGTCGGGCTTCGGCAGTGCTGATAGTGCGCTTGCGAGGCAGTTTTTTTTGCGAGCACTCTACGCGTTACAGCCAACCGTTTCGAAGTGTCCATGACTACTCTTGGATCTCAGAGAAAGAGCTTGGATCTCGGAGCATATTCAGATAAAATTTGAGACACAAGGCTCGCGGTTGATCTGGCCCGTTCGCCATTCACTGTCCTACACCACCTTACTGCTGACCTGGCACCACCACATCCAGGGCACCAGTGCCGCTTCCTTGCTTCCTAACCCCGCTGCGTGACACTCAATCGATGACAGCCGTCCGCGCCCCGGCCGGTCTGCCACGCTGGCCAGTCGGTGTGGGGTGCCGCAGCGAGGACCTGCGCCCGGAGCACGCTCCGGCCAGGCCGGCCAGCAGCAGCGCCGGTGCTCAGCTCCGCCGCCGCAGGTGTAGTGGACTCGTTGGTGGGTTGCTGGCCTCACTCGCAGCCTTGCGACGGACTCCGAGTTGCAGTCAGGGTCGACTCGAGAATCGGCCGAATTGACGTTGCGTTAACGGATGGTTAATTTTTTTTTAAAAAGAGAGGAATATTGCATCGTTATAGCCGTAGCTGAAACAACTGTTTGCACCGATAACTTAGTTCGTTAGGCCTGCCTGGCCTGCACTCCGGTCCAGCCACCAACCACCCACGATCGTGGCGGGGTGGGTTCGAGTCGCTTTAGGCGCTCGCTTTTTGGCTACCGCAGGCATGGCTTGCGGCCGGTGGCAGCACCCACGTTAAAGGCCACGTGGCGGTGGATGGCAGGACGGATCGTGCCGAGCATTGCGACATGCAAAGACTTTCGCTACCAAATTTTGCCGTTGACCTGGAATTGCACGATTGAATGGTGGAGCTGAGTGCTTCCGCAACAACATTACTCAGCTATGTTTGAGCTAAGCTAGGTAAGCTGGACATCCCATAAATCCATCCACACAAAAGTCGGACTAAATCACTTGAAAAAGCATGTTGTTTGAAACCATCAATGTTTTGACTGAGTCACTGCCATTGTAATCCGTTTCATCATAATCAACACACGCTTGGGTGGGGATCAAATCGACCCCCAGAAGGCTTCTCCGCATTGATGTACTAGCGGCGCGGTGTACCCGCGTCAAATTTTGCACAGCTATACGCAGGTGAATTGCGGATCGTTTGGTGACAAAAATCTAGATGTGCCTTGCAATGTCACTGACCTACGACTG